GGGGGGGTGGAGGAACTCACACTTCGTTGTGGGGAGAGATGACCTCCAGGCAAAAATTCTCCCCCAAATTGGCCATGGTGTCAGCACAGTTTGAAGCTCTCAAAGGTGTAATCGTAGTTGAGAATGACATCAGCATCATAGTGGTGTAAGACCTTTTTTCTTTGGAGTCACTGTTTTAAACAAGGAACAGAGGAAGGGCCGCACTGTTGGCTGCTCCTCGGACACCCACCCCCCACCCCCCACCAGCGGGACCCTGCTCAAATCCTGGGACACCTACTCTGTGCTATATGGGGGTTTTCTTGGCCCTGGCCGGGCACTCCGCTAGCCTTCACTGAGGCCTCCACCCTAGACTTCATTCCTGGGTTGTGCAGAGCAGGTGGGGTGTGGTACAGTGGGACTCACAGGCCTGCCTTCTTGGGCCGAGGGAGGGCAGAAGGCAAGGCTGTTCCCTCTTGCAGAACCATATGGGCAGCCGTGGACAGAGCCGGGGACGTGGGGGCCTCTCCTGGTCTCACCTAGGCCCTCCCTTCCCCCCACAGGTGACCCTCAGCTACGGCATGTTTGAGAGTAAGCGGAATGCCATCCACATGAAGGGGCCCTTCTCGGTGGAGGCTGACCCGTCCAGGTGAGGAAGCAGGTCCAGATAGAGGCTGGGCCTTAAGTTGGATTCCTTGGGGGTCTGCTGGGGCTGGAGGGGTTGTCTGGGGGGGAGCTGCTGGGGCTGGAGGGGTTGTCTGGGGGGGTCTGCTGGGGGCTGGGGGGGTCTGCTGGGGCTAGAGGGGTTGTCTGGGGGGGTCTGCTGGGGCTGGAGGGGTGCCCTGGGGGGGTCTGCTGGGGCTGGTACACTGAAGCAGCAGGACTACAGACCCCCAGGAGCCTTGTTCAGGGTGGACCAGGGCCCCTCTGCTGCTGTGGGTCTGAAGATGGGTGCTCAGCACCCTCTCCCCCTCCAACAGACCTGCCCCTACTCTGTCCCCACAGGTTCCGCTCCATCCACTGCCACCTGTACCCGGACACACCGTGGTGTCCCCACAGCGCCGTCTTCTAGCAGCCGTGGTTGAGACCCCGTCCTCGGGCGCCCCTGGTATCCAAAGGGCCCGGGGATCTGTGTTGTGTCGCCCTGGCCTTGGCATTCGAGGCTCCCCCAGGGCTGTGCCTACGTGTGTGTGTGTGCGCGCACTGCGTGCCCGTCCATGGAGCAGGCTGCTGGGCAGTTCTGTTCTGCCGAGAAGCAAGCACAAGGGCCACTTGTCTGCCCCGTGGGGCCGCGGGCTCCAGAGCCCCATCCCAGAGGATGTGCATCAGAGGTCACTCTGAGGGCAGTTTTCTTATTACTGCGGGGTCTTTCGGCAGCGTGGGGATCAGGGGCTGCTCTGCAGGGATACGCAGGTGCCTTTCCCTCCCTGTCGGGTGCAGGCCCTGTGCTGGGGGGGCCTAAGCACCCCCAGCACAGCCGAGCCAGGCTCAGTGCAAGGAAGCTGGGTTTGGGAGGAAACCCGAGCCCCCTTCTCCTGCTGAGCTCTGGACTTAGAGGACTAGCAGCCAGCACCCCCACCGGGTCCAGCCCCCACCCCCCCGGAAGCCCCTAGTGGCCGTGTGGCTAGGGAAACGGGCTCCCCTCCCAACCCTCCCTCACTGCCGTCTCTTTGTCTCCCCGTGATGGGGAGACAGCTGAGCATTTTATCTCCTCTCCGAAGTCGAGAGAACGTCGCCCATAATGGGCGTGCCTGTAAATATTTGTGACAGTATTTTTTTACTGTGCTTGTTTTTCATAAGGGGGTGGGTAAAAGGTAGGGTGTTTTTGTTTTTCTGGGGGGGTGGGTTTATCTTTTCTGTGGATCAGAAAAAGCAGAAGCCAAACTTGAGATAATCTTTGCTGTTTAAATGGAGGGAAATGTCCGCCACTCCGTGTATTTATATGTCCCGGCCTCCGGACTGCCCGCGCCCCGTCCTGCACGGTGCCCATCTCCCGCAGGCCCGTGGGGTGTGTTCTGTCTTCTGTTTTTCTTTCTGCAAAGACATAGCTAGGAAAGTGAACGATAATGGAAAAGTTCTCAGGGAATTGAAGTGTGGTTGCTATGGTGACGTCCTTTGCTGTGAATAAAGGTGCTCTTTGGGGCAACCCGGGGGGTCCTGGTCTTGCTGGAAGTTGGGCCAGAGACACAGGTCTGTCACAGGTCTGTCGGAGGGGCTCCAGGGGGCCTGGGGGCTTGTTCGAGCTCCTGTGGGGGAGATGGATAGAAGGGACTCCCAAGAGCCACTTGCAGGTGCCTGAGAGGCGCAGCCAGCCCAGGGCACCGTGGAAGTGGTCAGGGGGATGGCTGGATTGGCAGGTTTCACCCAGAGGAGCAGCCCATAGGCTCTGTAGCTCCAGCCTGTGTGGGCCTAGCCTTCCCTGGAGGAGGGAGGGGGCTCGTGGGGGCCCAGCCTGGGACCTCCTTATCTGGCTTCATCCCCATCACAAACTCACAAGAGGCCATATTCTTGTCCCATTTTGCAGATGGCAAAACTAAGGCTCAGAGCCAGTGACAGCCAAGGTCAGGCAACTGAGCTGGCGGGGGTGGTAAAGAGCTCAAACTCAGAGGCCTGGTGGTATTGGATCCTGGCCTCCCCTTGTGCTGGGGACCCCACACTCGACCTCGCCTCTGTGAAGGGGCTCCATGCCTGGACTGGTCCTGGAGCTGGGCCCCCAGGCCAGCTGGATGGAGGCTGGACAAGGATTCACACCGACCTTGTTTTCTGCCCACTCCCTGCTGCTCGCTCTTCCTCACATGCAGCCTTGGCAGGGTGGGGGGGGGGGCAGCCGGCATTCCCTCTTCCTCACACAGAGCCCCGCAGCACCCCCCCTGGGCTCCAAGTCCCCTGGGACCTCCATGTTGGCCGCTCTGCTCCACGGTTAACCTTCTCAACATGTCAGAATAAAGACAAGTGTTTGCAAAGCGCCTCCTGTCCCCACCCCTGACCTGCCGATGCCAGTCCCATCCCAGTAGCCCCGTGCTCACATACTCAGCACCCCCACGTGCAGCGTGTAGCCCGGGAGGCCCCCCCACTTCCTCATAAGGCTTGCTGGAGGCTCCTTGGGCCTGGGGGCAACTGGCCAGGGCCTGACCCCACCTTGGCCTTGTGTAGCCCTAAGTCAGTGGAGTGGGGTTTGCAGAAGGGCTGGAAGGGCAGGTGTCCCAGGGGTGTAGGTAGTGACGGGGGGTGGGGGGGGGACCTCAGCATCACAGCCTGATCCGTGTCCGGAGGGCACTCTTGCAGACATGCTGAGGAAAGGGGGCTGCTCAGGTTTTGGGGGGCAACCACCTGCGGGCAGACACCAAGGGCCTCCTTCCTGCCCCCCACCCCGGGGGGAGTCAGAGGAGCCCCCTGCCCTGGCCCGAGTGTCGACCCAGGGCCCAGCCACGGGGCCCCGGAACACAGGCATGGCCCTGCAGCCCTCGCGGGGACAGGTGGAGCCTGCCCCAGAGTTGGGGACGTACCTGGTCACCTGGTCGTCACAGCTGGTCCAAACCGTCCAGTGTGGGGAGGAGGCCCTGGGAGCTGAGGCCTTCATCTGAGAACAGGGATAAATGAGTCCTCAGGGCTCTGGGTCTGGGAGGCATGGGGGGGCGGGGCTCAAGCCCTGGGGCCCTTCCCTCTTCTCAAGGAAAAGCTGGGTGGGGGAGGGACGGAGAAGGGAGGGACGGAGGGAGGGAGGATGGTTCCTCCTCAGAAGGGGAAGCAGGTCCAGCAGGGGCAGATTTCTCCCATCTGCTGCCCTCAGGGGTGTGAGGAAGGGGCCCTCCCCCAAGATGAGTCACACAGCAGAAGCGTTGACCTCGCTCTCCCCCAGGGCAGGGCTGAGGGGTGTCATGCTCCCCCCCAAAACTGCCCATCATTTGTGGGCTTTCAAGATAACACTGCAACCATGGGGGCTGCTGGGTGCCCCTCCACCCCCTCGGCTTCCGTGGTCCAGGTCCGGGAGGGGCCAAGGGGTGCAGGTGGGGCCCTTCCCTGCTCAGTTTAAACACACTTCCCTTCACCTGGGGCCATCCCAGCCCACTGGCCCCAGAGCTGCATCTGAGCCGTGTTGGAAAGGAGGGCTTTCCAGAGGTGGGGTGGGAGAGGCGGCCATCTGGGTCTCGGCACAGCCCGGCAGGGGTGCGGAGGGGGAACTGCTCAGGATGCCTGGAAGGCTGGGAGGGAGGACGGGCAGCGGACTGGGTTGCCATAAGGCTCCCTTCCCTGCTGGGGGCTTCAGCCAGTCCTGCCCCTTCTAGGCCTGGGCTGGGGGTCGGGGGATGACCAGAGCCAGCCCCATCTTTCTGTCAGACCAACTGGCCTGTCTGGCTGCTGCCCACCCTAGCCCTGGCCTGGCCGAACGTTCTTGGAGGTGACCCCCGCTTCCCAAGCCCTTTCTGAGCCCAGCACTTGGTCCATCACTAGGAGGAACCCAGGGGCCTGGGGCGGGGGGGGGGGTTCCTGTCTGAGCCCCCTCGCGGTGGTCGAGGTTATGTTAGCATACTGAGTTAGGGCTGAGAGCTGTGCTGCCCCCACCCCCACGTGCCCCCTACTGGCTCCGGGCAGGCTTCTGGGACCCCCTGACTCAGGGTGCAATCCACCTCGGTCCTCGGGTACCAGCTGGTGGTGAGAGCTGGTGGTTTCTCCCCCTGCCCAAACCCACCTTCCCCAGGAACCCCCAGCACCCCGGGGCACGCCCCTTGCCCTTCGAAGGTCACATCACGAACCTGAAAGTTCTTACCAGTATGTGGTTGGCCAAGAGGCAAGCTCCAGCCGGCCACCCCGGCCGCCGTCCCACGCCCTGGCTCTGAGGGGGGCTGGTTGCACGTCCTCGTGGCCCGTCCTGGCGGGATCTTTGGGTCGTCCCCTCAGCAGAGCCACGGTGAGCCCCAGACCGGCCGTGCCGCTGTCAGGGGGACTGGCAGGGAATGCAGAATGTCCTGAGCTCCTGAACGGGTCCCCCTGCAGTCTCCCGTCCTCTGGGCACCTAGCGCCCCCTGCTGGACATGCCTGCCTCACTCCTGGAGAGATGCTCTTTCCACCACTGACAGACCCTCCTCGTTCCTGGCCTCCCGGTGGTGGGATCGCCACGCCTGCTGCCCACTGCGGGGATCCGCAGGCCCCTCCTTCCGGAAAATGTTGGCTCCTGGCTCACACAGGCTCTCTCTCCCACCCTGCTCCTGCGTCCATTCCTGCGTCACTCCCCAGACCTTGCCTGCCCTGCGACCCCACTCTGCCTCCACCTCTTGTCTGTCCAGCTCCTTCCCTCCCATTTCCTGACCCTGCTGGACCCCCAGCCCCCTCACACCTCATGGGCTCGTCCTCCCCTGCTTGAAGTCCCAGGTCCACTCAGGCCCGTGAACTCACCTTCACCTCCCTTGGCCTCTTGCTTCCACATCCTCTCTCAGCCAAGCCTCTGGTGTCTGACCTCCTGCGCCCGCCCTCCGCACCTGGTCAGCTGCACGGAAACAGTGCCCTCTGGGGAGTCTCACCCTGAGTTCCAGATGGAGCCTCGGGCCCTTGGGGGATCTCCTGTCCCCGCTCTGTCCCTCCTCTCTGGCTCTCCCACAGCCCCAGGGTGGGGGGGGGCTGTACCTTCTTTGCCCCCAGCCCCCCACTTCCTCTGGCCTCCCTACTTCATGAGACCCTCCAGCCGCCCCCCCACTGCCCAAACGCTCTGACCACCAGGCCAGCAGGGGGGCCACACTCCTGTCTATGGACTTGGGTCCCACCCTTCTTGGTGACTCAGGAAGGCCACTCCACCGACGAGCTCTGCCCGCGGCCTCCCCCAGGCTCTCCCGAGCCAGCCATCAGGCTTCATCACAGCTGCTCTTGTCCAAGACTCCAGCGGTGTCCAGGTGGCTGAGCACATGGGTCACTTCCTGCACTCGTGGAACCTGGTGATCGGCAGCACGTGACACGGTCCCTTGTCTCTCCTCCACACTGTCTTCGTGCAGCTCTCAGGATGCCCCCTGTCCTGGACTCCTCCTGCCTCGCTGGTCGCTCCTCCCTACTCCCGACCCCAAACATGGGCTCTGCTGTCTCCTCTTTGGCACCCACTCCCTGCGGGACGTCACCCTGGCTCGTGGCTTTCAACACTGTACCCAAGACAAACACTCCAGCTGGCCGTCGCTGCCCAGTGCTCTCCCCTGACCCCCCCGATTCACTGTTCCCCCTGCTCTCCATACCTCCCCGGGGGGACCCAATAGACATCTTAGGCTCAACATGTCCAAAAGTGGACCACTGACCCCTTGATCGCAAACCTGCTTCCTCCCCAGCTGCCCATCTCCGTTTATGACACCACAGACCCCCACCTGCCACAGCTCCACCCAAACCTCACACCCACCCCCACAGTGTGCCAGAAAGTGCTGCTGGCGTTCCTTTCAGAACCCAGGGCTTTCTCACCACTGCTTGGCTGGCCAGCACCCCGCCCGGGCTGCCCTCAGCTCTGGCCTGCACCGTGGCCAAAGTTTCCTCTCTGCTCTCCTGCTTCTGCCCTGGCTCCCTTCCCAACTCGCCAGCTCGGCCCATACTGTTAAAACGAACGTGAGGTGGTGTCGGTCCGCTCAGATGCTCCATGGCTTCCCCTCCGCAGAGCCAGTCTCCAGGGCCTTATGAGACCCACAGGCCCTTTGAGATCCTCACTCCTCTGCTTCCTCTCGGACCACCCTTCCTCTGCTCTCCATTCCAGTGACCCTCGCTTCCTTGCGTGAACACACCTCAGGACCTTTGCACTGGCTGTTCTCTCTGCCCAGATATCCTCAAGACCAGCTTCCCCTGTGGGGCAGAAGAGTAGCCCCCAAAGATGTCCACATCTTCATCTCCCTAACTGATGAATATGTTACCTTCATGGCAAAGGGAACTTCGTAGATGTGAGCAGATTAAGAACCTCGAGATGGGGAGATTATTATCCTGAACTATCCAGGTGGGTCCAATGCAATCACAGAGGTCCCTGGGAGAGGGAGGCAGGAGGGTCAGGGTCAGACCGAGGTACCCAAAGGTGCTCCACTGCCGGCTTACAAGATGGAGGGGCTGTGAACCACGGAATGTGGCTGCTTCGAGAACCAGGATGTCACTGTGCCCTCCCTGACATACAGGGAGACTGAGGTCCAAGAGGGGCGGGAAGTGCCTGGACTCTCCCGCCTTTTGTGTTCCTTGGTCCCAGGTCTCCAGTTCACTCTCCTTACCACACGGCACCTCAGAAGCTTCCAATGTGTCCACCCCCTTCAGAGCTGACCAGTTCTGGACCCCCTTCCCCTCCCCCCCAGCGGGTCAAATCGAGGACTGGGGGACCCCAGCGCTCCCCTGCCCACCCCCACACTCACAGCAATGCCACCGGAGAGCCTGGGGTCTTCCACAGGGCCTTGCAGGTGCCTCGCCCACCTGCGCCCCAGGCACGGGAGACCAAGGCTTTCCTGGTCAAAGGGCGCGTCCCTCCAGTTCCAAGGGGCTCTGAGCCCCCTGCACGGAAAGTGAGCTCACCAGCAACCTTCCAGAGCTGCAGTACGTGGCACCTTCCGGAGTCCATTTCTCAGATGAGAACAAGAATGACTGTTAACCTTCAAAACAGAGCAGCCAGTCATCTCGGGGGCAAAACGAGCTTCCCTGGGATGGGGCGCAGCAATTCAGAGCCTCACCCGCACTCGACGCACAAACGCCTCGAGAATGAAGGGGCGGAGCCTGCTTCTGTAGCGGGAAGGGAAGGCGGGGCTGCTCTGGACAGGAGCCCATTGGAGGAGACCCGAGTGGCGGCTTCTCATTGGCTGGGCTGTTGCTGGGCGAGGAGACACCTGTGTCTTCGCTTTGGGTGGGCAATTGGGTGCGTGATTGGAGGCAGGTGGGTCCCTGCTGGCCTCCGAGCGCACACCGGGGCTCCTTTCCTCCTTTTCCCACCATCCCGCCTGGGGTGGGGGAACGGCTCCTGGGAGGCCAGGGA